AACATACTTTTTTAACTCAACTCCCCTATTGAATGTACCCCCCCTTCCCCCCCAGGGGGGGTATACTATGTATAATCGTGCATACATTTATATACCACATATACTATGGTACCGGTACTATATATTATAATCGTACTAAGCCCATTATATGTAGACGGACATTACACCTCAACCCCATTTCTCCCAACGTACAGTTTATGCAATTTCCCAAGACATTAATGCTCTCACCCCAGCAAATGATCTACAACTTTCAGGTCACCATACTATGAATGGTTACAGGACATACATGTAATACTAAGTATTCCCCCATTTGGTTATGCTCGACGTACCAGATGGATTTATTGATCGTACACCTCACGAGAGATCACCAACCCCTGCCCGTAATGTACTCCATGACTAGCTTCAGGCCCATTCTTTCCCCCTACACCCCTCGCCCCTCTTGCTCTTTTGCGCCTCTGGTTCCTCGGTCAGGAACATCCCATGCATAACTCCTGAACTTCTCACTTTTCACGAAGTCATCTGTGCATTATTCTCCCCTCTCAAGTCCGTGATCGCGGCATCTTCTCTCTTCATTGCTGTTGGTTCCTTTTTTCTCTGGGGCTTCTTCACAGGTTGCCCTTCACAGTGCGGGTGCGGAGTGCTATTCAAGTGAAGCCTGGACTACTCCTGCGTTGCGTCCTATCCTAGTCCTCTCGTGTCCCTCGATGAGACGGTTTGCGTGTATGGGGAATCATCTTGACACTGATGCACTTTGGATCGCATTTGGTTATGGCTCTTCCACCCTCCCGGTTAAATGGTGCTATTTAGTGAATGCTTGTCGGACATATTTTTACAAATTTTCACTTCCTCTATTTTCTCCACAAAACTAGGAGATTTACCACAATTTTTTCTTTAGTTTTTTGTTATTTTTTTAAAAAAAAAAATTAAAAAACTAAATTAACTAAAATTACCGCATAAAAACCCCCAAACCATAGAAACGTTTGATTGCGTATATATATATTGTTATATGCAACACTTTTATTAGAGAAACTCCACTACCAAATTCACTTTTTTAAAAAACAAAATTTTACTATAGGACAAAACCCCACAAATTAAACATTATTTATATTCATGATAAACAAATAGTTAAATTCTCCTACCTTCAATAGCCTCCATAGCTTAATCCAAAGCATGGCACTGAAGATGCCAAGACGGTACCTATAATACCTGTAGGCAAAAGACTTAGTCCTAACCTTACTATTGATTTTTGCTAGACATATACATGCAAGTATCTGCACACCAGTGAAAATGCCCTAACATCTTCAACAAGAAAAAGGAGCAGGTATCAGGCACACCCTAAAAGTAGCCCAAGACACCTTGCCATAGCCACACCCCCACGGGTATTCAGCAGTAATTAACCTTAAGCAATGAGTGTAAACTTGACTTAGCCATAGCAATCTCAGGGTTGGTAAATCTTGTGCCAGCCACCGCGGTCATACAAGAAACCCGAATCAATAGCCAACCGGCGTAAAGAGTGGTCATATGTTATCCTCACCACCTAAGATCGAAGTACAACTAAGCTGTCATAAGCCCAAGATCTACCTAAGCTCCCCAAAACATCTTAGCTCCACGACTAATTTTACCCCACGAAAGCCAGGACACAAACTGGGATTAGATACCCCACTATGCCTGGCCCTAAATCTAGATGCCTACATACCCATGCATCCGCCCGAGAACTACGAGCACAAACGCTTAAAACTCTAAGGACTTGGCGGTGCCCCAAACCCACCTAGAGGAGCCTGTTCTATAATCGATAATCCACGATCCACCCAACCACCCCTTGCCAACACAGCCTACATACCGCCGTCGCCAGCCCACCTAAATGAAAGGCCAACAGTGAGCTCAACAGTCCACCACTAGCAAGACAGGTCAAGGTATAGCCCATGGGGTGGAAGAAATGGGCTACATTTTCTAATATAGAATAAACGAAAAAGGACGTGAAACCCGTCCTTGGAAGGAGGATTTAGCAGTAAAGTAGGACCATGCCTCTTCAAGCCTACTTTAAGACGGCCCTGGGGCACGTACATACCGCCCGTCACCCTCTTCGCAGGCCACCAATACTAATAAATAATACCCACATCAAGCCAAAGACGAGGTAAGTCGTAACAAGGTAAGCGTACCGGAAGGTGCGCTTAGACCATCAAGATGTAGCTATAAAACCCTAAAGCATTCAGCTTACACCTGAAAGATATCTTTCCACAACAAGATCATCTTGACTTGCTCTCCCTCTAGCCCAATCACCACACAATCCATACCATCAAAAACATATTCCCATAGTAAATCAAAACATTCTAACCCCCTCTTAGTATAGGCGATAGAAAAGATTCAAGATCCCTGGCGCAATAGAGGCTAACCGTACCGTAAGGGAAAGATGAAATAATAATGAAAACTAAAAGCAAAAACAGTAAAGACCAACCCTTGTACCTCTTGCATCATGATTTAGCAAGAACAACCAAGCAAAGTGAACTAAAGTTTGCCTTCCCGAAACCCAAGCGAGCTACCTGCGAGCAGCTAAATTGAGCAAACCCATCTCTGTCGCAAAAGAGTGGGATGACTTTCTGGTAGAAGTGAAAAGCCAACCGAGCTGGGTGATAGCTGGTTGCCTGCCAAACGAATTTAAGTTCCCCCTTAGTCCACTCTATAAGGATATTTTACCTCAACCCTGCACATGTTAGGACTAAGAGTAATTCGACGGGGGTACAGCCCCTTCGAAAAAGAATACAACCTCCTCCAGCGGATAACCCCCCCCCCCCCCTTTTTTTCCTTCACCGTGGGCTTTAAAGCAGCCATCAACAAAAGAGTGCGTCAAAGCTCCCCCATTAAAAATTCAAAAACCAATTTGACTCCCTCACCCAAAGCAGGCCAACCTATGAAAATAGAAGAATTAATGCTAAAATGAGTAACTCGGAATCCTCCTCATAGCGCAAACTTACATCAACATATTATTAACAGCCCAACTTATACCTTAACTCTAACAAGAACACGTATTTAACCCCACCTGTTAAACCAACTCAGGAGCGCCCACTCAGATGATTAAAATCTGCAAAAGGAACTCGGCAAACCAAAGACCCGACTGTTTACCAAAAACATAGCCTTCAGCAAACAACAAGTATTGAAGGTGATGCCTGCCCAGTGACCCTCAAAGTTCAACGGCCGCGGTATCCTAACCGTGCGAAGGTAGCGCAATCAATTGTCCCATAAATTGAGACTTGTATGAATGGCTGAACGAGGTCTTAACTGTCTCTTGCAGATAATCAGTGAAATTAGTATTCCCGTGCAAAAACGAGAATGTGACCATAAGACGAGAAGACCCTGTGGAACTTAAAAATAACGATCACCTCCTCACCAACACTGCCCACCGGGCTTACCCACACAAAATACCTGATCGACATTTTTCGGTTGGGGCGACCTTGGAGAAAAACAAATCCTCCAAACCTACAGACCACAACTCTTCACTAAGATCAACTCATCAAAGTACTAATAGTAATCTAGACCCAATATAATTGACTGATGAACCAAGCTACCCCAGGGATAACAGCGCAATCTCCTCCAAGAGCCCATATCGACAAGGAGGTTTACGACCTCGATGTTGGATCAGGACAACCTAATGGTGCAGCCGCTATTAAGGGTTCGTTTGTTCAACGATTAACAGTCCTACGTGATCTGAGTTCAGACCGGAGCAATCCAGGTCGGTTTCTATCTATGAAATAACTCCTCCTAGTACGAAAGGACCGGAGAAGTGGGGTCAATACCATAAAGTACACCCCAGCTTATAAGCAATGAACTCAACTCAATTGCCAAAAGCCTAACACACACCCAATTCCTAGAAAAGGAACAGCTAGCGTGGCAGAGCTCGGTAAATGCAAAAGGCTTAAGCCCTTTATCCAGAGGTTCAAATCCTCTCCCTAGCCCCTTCCCCAATATGACCCTATCTTCCCTAATGAACCTCTTAGCTATAACCTTATCCTATGTACTCCCAATCCTAATTGCCGTGGCCTTCTTAACACTTGTAGAACGAAAAATCCTCAGCTACATACAGGCCCGAAAGGGCCCAAACATCGTGGGCCCTTTTGGTCTACTCCAACCCGTTGCAGATGGGGTAAAATTATTCATTAAAGAGCCCATCCGTCCATCCACCTCTTCCCCCTTCCTCTTCATTATTACACCTATTCTAGCTCTTCTACTAGCTCTTACCATTTGGGCACCTCTCCCACTTCCCTTCCCCCTTGCAGACCTAAACCTGGGCCTTCTATTCCTCCTAGCCATGTCAAGCTTAACTGTCTATTCCCTTCTATGATCCGGATGAGCTTCAAACTCCAAATACGCCCTAATCGGAGCCCTTCGGGCCGTTGCCCAAACAATCTCATATGAAGTCACCCTAGCCATCATCCTCTTATCCACAATTATACTATGCGGAAACTACTCCCTAAGCACCCTAGCCACCACTCAAGAACCCATTTACCTCATCCTCCCCTCATGACCCCTAGCAATAATATGATTCATCTCCACCCTTGCCGAAACTAACCGTGCCCCATTCGACCTAACAGAAGGGGAATCTGAACTTGTCTCAGGATTCAACGTTGAATACGCCGCTGGACCATTTGCCCTATTTTTCCTAGCAGAATACGCCAACATTATATTAATGAATACACTAACAACCATTCTATTCCTCAACCCAAGCTTCTTAAATCTCCCATCTGAACTATTCTCCATTACACTAGCTACAAAAACCCTCCTACTCTCATCCACATTCCTATGAATCCGAGCCTCATATCCACGATTTCGCTATGATCAACTAATACACCTTCTATGAAAAAACTTCCTACCCCTAACCCTAGCCCTATGCCTATGACATGCCAGCATACCAACTAGCTACGCCGGTTTACCCCCAATCTAAGGCAGCGTGCCTGAACATAAAGGATCACTATGATAAAGTGAACATAGAGGTATAACAGTCCTCTCGCTTCCTTTAAACTTAGAAAAGTAGGAGTCGAACCTACACAAAAGAGATCAAAACTCTCCATACTCCCCTTATATTATTTTCTAGTAGGGTCAGCTAACCAAGCTATCGGGCCCATACCCCGAAAATGATGGTCTAACCCCTTCCCCTACTAATGAACCCCCATGCAAAACTAGTCTTCACCATAAGTTTAGTGATAGGAACTAGCATCACTATCTCTAGCAACCATTGAATCCTAGCTTGAACCGGCCTAGAAATCAACACCCTAGCCATCATTCCCCTTATCTCCAAATCCCACCACCCTCGAGCAATCGAAGCAACCATCAAATACTTCCTTACCCAATCTGCTGCATCGGCCTTAATTTTGTTCTCAAGCCTAACCAATGCCTGATTTACAGGCCAATGAGACATCACACAACTAAACCACCCCACATCCTGCCTAGTATTAACCACAGCAATTGCAATCAAACTAGGGCTAGTCCCATTCCACTTTTGATTCCCAGAAGTCCTTCAGGGCTCTTCAATAATTACTGCCCTACTGCTCTCAACTCTCATAAAACTTCCCCCAATCACCCTCCTCCTCATCACATCACAATCCCTTGACCCTTCCATACTCACTTTCCTAGCAATCTCTTCCGCACTGATCGGAGGCTGAATAGGCCTCAACCAAACACAAACACGAAAGATTCTAGCTTTCTCATCCATCTCCCACCTGGGTTGAATAATCGTCGTCATCACCTACAACCCTAACCTTACCTTCCTCACTTTTACCCTCTATGTAGTAATAACTACTACTGTATTCCTATCCCTCAATCAAATCAAAGTCCTAAAACTATCAACAATACTTATCTCATGAACAAAAACACCTACACTAAATGCATCCATAATACTGACACTCCTATCCCTAGCAGGCCTCCCACCACTAACAGGCTTCATACCAAAATGACTTATTATCCAAGAACTTACTAAACAAGAAATAACCCCCACAGCTACAATTATCACTTTACTATCGCTACTAGGCCTATTTTTCTACCTTCGCCTCGCATACCATTCAACAATCACACTTCCACCTAACTCATCCAACCACATAAAACTCTGGCGCATTAATAAAACACCAAATACCCCCACAGCCATCTTATCTGCCCTATCAACTTCACTTCTACCCCTATCTCCCCTAATTATCACCATATTCTAGAAACTTAGGATTAAACTACCGCCCAAACCAAAGGCCTTCAAAGCCTTAAATAAGAGTTAAACTCTCTTAGTTTCTGCCTAAGACTAACAGGACATTAACCTGTATCTTCTGAATGCAAGCCAGACGCTTTAATTAAGCTAAAGCCTTCATCTAGGCAGATGGGCCTCGATCCCATACAATTCTAGTTAACAGCTAGACGCCACAACCCCTTGGCTTCTGCCTACAAGACCCTGGTACGCTCTTAGCGCACATCAATGAGCTTGCAACTCACCATGAACTTCACCACAGAGTCGATAAGAAGAGGAATTAAACCTCTGTGAAAAGGACTACAGCCTAACGCTTCTACACTCAGCCATCTTACCTGTGACCTTCATCAACCGATGATTATTCTCAACTAACCATAAAGATATTGGCACTCTTTATCTAATTTTCGGCACATGAGCGGGCATAGTTGGCACAGCACTTAGCCTACTAATTCGCGCAGAACTAGGACAACCAGGAACACTTTTGGGAGATGACCAAATTTATAATGTAATCGTCACAGCCCATGCCTTCGTTATAATCTTTTTCATAGTTATACCTATCATGATTGGGGGCTTCGGAAATTGACTAGTCCCTCTTATAATCGGTGCCCCAGACATAGCATTCCCACGTATAAACAACATAAGCTTCTGACTTCTCCCCCCCTCCTTTCTCCTCCTGCTAGCCTCCTCAACCGTAGAAGCTGGAGCCGGTACCGGATGAACTGTTTACCCCCCCTTAGCTGGAAACCTTGCTCACGCCGGTGCATCAGTAGATCTGGCCATTTTCTCCCTCCATCTCGCAGGTGTGTCATCCATTTTAGGGGCCATTAACTTCATCACTACCATCATCAACATAAAACCCCCTACATTATCACAATACCAAACACCACTATTCGTCTGATCCGTCCTTATTACCGCCATTCTCCTACTGCTTTCTTTACCCGTTCTAGCCGCTGGGATTACTATACTCCTTACTGACCGCAACCTCAACACCACATTCTTTGATCCTGCAGGAGGGGGAGATCCAATCCTCTATCAACACCTATTTTGATTCTTCGGCCATCCCGAAGTTTACATCCTCATCCTCCCAGGCTTCGGAATAATCTCCCACGTAGTAGCATACTATGCAGGAAAAAAAGAACCATTTGGCTACATAGGAATAGTATGAGCAATACTATCAATCGGATTCTTAGGCTTCATTGTATGAGCCCATCACATATTCACAGTAGGAATAGATGTAGATACCCGAGCCTACTTTACATCCGCCACTATAATCATTGCCATCCCAACCGGTATTAAAGTCTTCAGCTGACTCGCTACCCTGCACGGAGGAACAATTAAATGAGATCCACCCATATTATGAGCCTTAGGGTTTATCTTCTTATTTACTATTGGAGGCTTAACAGGAATTGTCCTAGCCAACTCATCATTAGACATTGCCCTACATGATACTTACTACGTAGTCGCCCACTTCCATTATGTTCTCTCAATAGGAGCAGTTTTCGCTATTCTAGCAGGATTCACTCACTGATTCCCCCTTTTCACAGGCTTCACCCTTCACCCCCCATGAACCAAAGCACATTTCGGCGTAATATTCACAGGAGTAAACCTAACCTTCTTCCCACAACATTTCCTAGGTCTAGCCGGTATACCCCGACGATACTCAGACTACCCAGATGCCTACACATTATGAAACACATTATCCTCAATCGGCTCCTTAATCTCAATAACAGCTGTTATCATACTCATATTCATCGTCTGAGAAGCCTTCTCAGCAAAACGAAAAGTGCTTCAACCAGAATTAACTTCTACTAACATTGAATGAATCCATGGTTGCCCCCCTCCATATCACACCTTCGAGGAACCAGCCTTTGTCCAAGTACAAGAAAGGAAGGAATCGAACCCTCACATGCTGGTTTCAAGCCAACCGCATCAAACCATTTAATGCTTCTTTCTTATGAGCTGTTAGTAAACCAATTACATAGACTTGTCAAGACTAAATCACAGGTGCAAACCCTGTACACCTCATATGGCAAACCACTCCCAACTAGGATTTCAAGATGCCTCATCCCCCATTATAGAAGAACTTGTTGAATTCCACGACCACGCCCTAATAGTAGCATTAGCAATCTGTAGCCTAGTACTTTACCTTCTTACTCTTATACTTACAGGAAAACTATCATCAAATACTGTTGATGCTCAAGAAATCGAGCTAATTTGAACCATTCTTCCTGCCGTTGTCCTAGTATTACTAGCCCTCCCCTCCCTGCAAATCCTCTACATAATAGATGAAGTTGATGAACCTGATCTCACTCTAAAGGCCATCGGCCACCAATGATATTGAACCTATGAATACACTGACTTCAAGGATCTTTCGTTCGACTCCTACATAACCCCAACAACAGACCTCCCTCAAGGCCACTTCCGCCTCCTAGAAGTTGACCACCGCATCGTAGTTCCAATAGAATCACCTATCCGAATAATCATCACCGCTGACGATGTACTCCACTCATGAGCCGTTCCAACCCTTGGAGTAAAAACAGATGCAATCCCAGGACGACTAAACCAAACTTCCTTCATTACCACTCGACCAGGAGTGTTTTACGGACAATGCTCAGAAATCTGTGGAGCTAATCACAGTTTCATACCCATCGTAGTAGAATCTACTCCTCTCAAACACTTTGAAGCCTGAACCCCTCTTCTATCATCCTAACCATTAAGAAGCTATGGACCAGCACTAGCCTTTTAAGCTAGAGAAAGAGGAAATTACCCTCCTTAATGATATGCCCCAATTAAACCCTAACCCATGATTCACCATCATAATCCTAACCTGATTTACCTTCTCCCTTCTTATTCAACCTAAACTACTATCGTTTATCCCCACAAACAGCCCCATGAACAAAACTGTAACAACAAAACCCTCTCCCTGAATCTGACCATGAACCTAAGCTTCTTTGACCAATTTTCAAGCCCATATCTCCTAGGAATGCCACTAATCCTCCCATCCCTACTTCTTCCGACCCTCCTACTCCCATCACCAGGACGCCGGTGGGTCAATAACCGTCTTTCCACCATCCAACTCTGGTTCATTCACCTAATTACAAAACAACTAATAACTCCCCTAAACAAAGCAGGTCACAAATGAGCCCTTCTACTAACTTCCCTTATTCTTATACTTCTCTCCATCAACCTACTCGGACTCCTCCCCTATACCTTTACCCCCACTACCCAATTATCAATAAATATAGCCCTAGCCTTCCCCTTATGACTCGCCACCTTGCTCACCGGACTACGAAATCAACCCTCCACATCCCTAGGTCACCTTCTCCCCGAAGGAACACCCACCCCATTAATTCCAGCCCTAATCATAATCGAAACAACCAGCCTTCTCATCCGACCTTTAGCCCTAGGGGTACGCTTAACAGCCAACCTCACGGCTGGCCATTTACTCATCCAACTTATCTCCACAGCCACAATCACCCTACTACCAATAATACCATCAATCTCTGCCTTAACAACGATTATCCTCTTTCTACTAACCATTCTAGAAGTAGCAGTAGCCATAATCCAAGCCTACGTTTTTGTTCTCCTTCTGAGCCTCTACTTACAAGAAAACATCTAATGGCACACCAAGCACATTCCTACCATATAGTTGACCCAAGCCCATGGCCGATCTTCGGCGCAGCTACAGCACTACTGACCACCTCAGGCCTAATCATATGATTTCACTACAACTCATTAACCCTATTAACAATAGGCCTCCTTTCCATGCTTCTTGTTATATTGCAATGATGACGAGATGTAGTCCGAGAAAGTACCTTCCAAGGACACCATACCCCAACCGTACAAAAAGGCCTACGATATGGCATAATCCTCTTTATTACATCAGAAGCCTTCTTCTTCCTAGGCTTCTTCTGAGCCTTCTTCCACTCAAGCCTAGCCCCAACACCAGAACTAGGAGGACAATGACCACCCACAGGAATTAACCCCATAAACCCCCTCGAAGTCCCCCTTCTAAACACAGCAATCCTCTTAGCCTCCGGCGTCACCGTAACATGAGCCCACCACAGCATTACCGAAGGAAATCGAAAACAAGCCATCCATGCACTAACCCTTACCATCATCCTCGGATTCTACTTCACTGCCTTACAAGCAATAGAATATCATGAAGCCTCATTTTCGATCGCTGATAGCGTTTACGGCTCTACTTTCTTCGTTGCCACAGGATTCCATGGACTACACGTAATCATCGGATCATCCTTCCTATCAGTCTGCCTCTTACGACTAATCAAATTCCACTTTACATCAAACCACCATTTCGGATTCGAAGCAGCAGCCTGATACTGACACTTCGTAGATATCATCTGACTCTTCCTATATATATCAATATACTGATGAGGATCCTGCTCTTCTAGTATACTAATTACAATTGACTTCCAATCTTTAAAATCTGGTATTAATCCAGAGAAGAGCAATGAATTCACTCACATTCATACTATCATTATCCTTTACACTAAGCACTGCACTAACTACTTTAAACTTCTGACTTGCCCAAATAACCCCAGACACAGAAAAACTATCCCCATACGAATGTGGATTTGACCCCCTAGGATCAGCCCGACTCCCATTCTCAATCCGATTCTTTCTCAGTAGCCATCCTATTCCTCCTATTTGACCTAGAAATCGCCCTGCTCCTCCCCCTCCCATGAGCTATCCAACTTCAATCACCCACTACAACCCTCACTTGAACTACCATTATCATTACCCTCCTAACACTAGGCCTCATCTACGAATGAATGCAAGGAGGCCTAGAATGAGCAGAGTAACAGAAAGTTAGTCTAACTAAGACAGCCGGTTTCGGCCCAGCAAATTATAGATAATACCTATAACTTTCTTATGTCTCCCCTTCACTTCAGCTTCTACTCCGCATTCACATTCAGCTGCCTAGGATTAGCATTCCACCGAACCCACCTTATCTCCGCCCTACTTTGCCTAGAAAGCATAATATTATCTATGTTCATCCCCCTCTCAATATGACCCCTCGAAAACCAAACCCCATCATTCACCCTCGTACCCATCCTCATACTAGCTTTCTCAGCATGTGAGGCTGGTGCTGGCCTAGCCACGCTAGTAGCCTCAACCCGAACACACGGCTCCGACCACCTTCACAACCTAAACCTTCTACAATGCTAAAAATCATTCTACCAATAACTATACTCCTACCAATAACCCTCCTATCCCCAACAAAATCTATATGAACTAACACCACAGCCCACAGTCTTCTAATCGCTCTAATTAGCCTACACTGACTAACCCCATCATATTACCCCTCAAAAAACTTAGCCCACTGAACAGCTATTGATCAAATCTCAGCTCCCCTACTAGTTCTCTCCTGCTGGTTCCTCCCCCTTATAATCCTAGCCAGCCAAGGCCATTTACAGCACGAACCCTACGTACGAAAGCAAATATTCATCTCTACCCTAATTATTATTCAACCATTCATCATCCTAGCCTTTTCGGCAACAGAACTCATACTATTCTATATCTCATTCGAAGCAACCCTAATCCCAACCCTAATCTTAATTACACGCTGAGGAAATCAACCCGAACGACTCAGCGCAGGTATTTATCTCCTCTTCTATACTCTAATTAGCTCCCTACCACTACTGATCTCTATCCTCTATCTCCACTCAAAAATAGGAACACTCTACCTTCCCATTCTTAAACTCACCCACCCAAACCCATCAACCCCATGAACAAACCTATTATCCAGCCTAGCCCTCCTAGTAGCATTCATAGTCAAAGCACCCCTATACGGCCTGCACCTATGACTACCTAAAGCCCACGTAGAAGCCCCAATTGCAGGATCAATACTACTTGCCGCCTTATTACTTAAACTAGGAGGATACGGTATTATACGAGTTACCTTACTAGCAGAACCCCTATCCAACCACCTACACTACCCATTCCTAACCCTAGCCTTATGAGGTGCCTTAATGACTAGCTCCATCTGCCTACGCCAAACAGACCTAAAATCCCTCATTGCTTACTCATCCGTAAGCCACATAGGACTAGTAATCGCCGCAAGCATAATCCAAACTCAATGATCATTCTCAGGAGCAATAATCCTCATAATCTCCCACGGATTAACATCCTCCCTCTTATTCTGCCTAGCAAACACAAACTACGAACGAACACACAGCCGTATTCTTATCCTCACGCGAGGCTTACAGCCCCTTCTACCATTAATATCTACATGATGACTCTTAGCCAACCTAACTAACATAGCCCTGCCCCCAACAACTAACCTAATAGCAGAATTAACAATCATAATTGCCCTCTTTAACTGATCCCCCCTCACAATTATCCTAACCGGAATCGCAACACTCTTAACCGCTTGCTACACCCTGTACATACTACTAACCACCCAACGAGGAACCTTACCAACTCACATCACAACAACTCCAAATTCAAATACACGAGAACATCTCCTAATAATCCTTCATATCATCCCAATACTAGCCCTCATTCTTAAACCAGAGCTAATTTCAGCAACTCCTCTATGCTAGCATAGTTTAACCCAAACATTAGATTGTGATTCTAAAAATAGGAGTTTAAACCTCCTTGCTTGCCGAGGGGAGGTCCAAACCAACAAGAACTGCTAATTCTTGCATCCGAGCCTTAAACCTCGGCCCCCTTAACTTTTAAAGGATAAAAGTAATCCATTGGTCTTAGGAACCACCCATCTTGGTGCAATTCCAAGTAAAAGTAATGGAAACAGCACTACTCCTAAATTCATTCATACTACTGACCCTACTCATTCTCTTCACCCCCATCATCCTGCCCCCCCTTCTTAATATTAAAAACACCCCACAATCAATCCCCAAAACCATTAAAACTGCCTTCTTAATCAGCCTCATCCCAACAATCATTTTTCTCCATTCAGAAATAGAAAGCATCACCACTTACTGAGAATGACAACTCACCCAAAACTTCAAAATCCCAATCTCCCTAAAAATAGACCTGTACTCCATAACATTCTTCCCCATTGCACTCTTCGTAACCTGATCAATCCTAGAATTCTCAACATGATACATAGCTTCAGAACCCTTCATCTCAAAATTCTTCACCTTCCTCCTTATTTTCCTCATCGCCATACTAACCCTTACAATCGCAAATAACATATTCCTTCTATTTATCGGCTGAGAAGGAGTAGGAATCATATCATTCCTCCTCATTGGCTGATGACAAGGACGAGCTGAAGCTAACACAGCCGCACTTCAAGCCATAATCTATAATCGAATTGGAGACATCGGTCTAATCCTAAGCATAGCATGACTAGCCTCAACATTAAACTCCTGAGAAATCCAACAAACCATTCAACCAAATCAAACACCTACCCTCCCCCTTCTAGGCCTAATCCTAGCCGCCACAGGAAAATCAGCCCAATTCGGCCTCCATCCATGACTTCCTGCAGCAATAGAAGGTCCAACTCCAGTCTCCGCCCTACTCCATTCCAGCACTATAGTAGTAGCCGGAATTTTCTTACTCATTCGCACCCACCCCATCTTATCCTCAAACAAATTAGCCTTAACCACATGCCTATGCTTAGGTGCCTTATCAACATTATTTGCCGCCACTTGCGCCCTTACTCAAAATGATATCAAAAAAATCATTGCCTTTTCCACCTCAAGCCAACTAGGTCTTATAATAGTCACAATCGGACTAGACCTCCCCCAACTTGCTTTTCTCCACATCTCAACCCACGCATTCTTCAAGGCTATGCTATTCCTGTGCTCTGGCCTAATCATCCACAGCCTAAACGGAGAACAAGACATTCGCAAAATAGGATGCCTTCAAAAAACCCTGCCAATAACCACCTCTTGCCTAACCATCGGCAACCTTGCCCTAATAGGCACTCCATTCCTAGCTGGCTTCTACTCAAAAGACCCAATCATCGAAAACCTAAACACCTCATACATCAATACCTGAGCCCTCCTCCTTACTCTACTTGCCACATCCTTCACCGCAACCTACAGCCTACGCATAACCCTATTAGTCCAAACAGGCCACACTCGATCCCCCACAATCACACCCATCAATGAAAACACATCCTCAGCCATCCTACCTATCATCCGACTAGCCTTTGGCAGCATCATAGCCGGTTTACTAATCTCATCCCTCACCCTCCCTACAAAAACACCCCCAATAACCATGCCTGCCATCACAAAAACCGCCGCCATCATTGTCACAACCCTTGGAATCATCCTCGCCCTAGAACTCTCAAATATAACACACACCCTTACTCCTCCAAAGCAAAACCCTCTCATAAACTTTTCCTCCTCACTAGGCTACTTCAACCCCCTAACACACCGTACTAACCCTACAATCCTCCTTCACTCTGGACAAAAAATTGCTACCCACCTAATCGACATAGCATGATACAAAAAAATAGGCCCTGAAGGTCTTGCCAACCTCCACCTGATTATAAGCAAAACCTCAACCACCCTCCATACAGGCCTAATCAAATCCTACCTAGGGTCCTTCGCCCTTACAATCCTCATTATAATCCTAATAACCCCAAAATAAAATAATGGCACCCAACATCCGAAAATCTCACCCCCTACTAAAAATTATCAACAACTCCCTAATCGACCTACCCGCCCCCTCCAACATCTCTGCTTGATGAAACTTCGGTTCCCTGCTAGCAGTATGCCTTATTACTCAAATCCTCACTGGCCTCCTATTAGCCATACATTACACCGCAGATACCTCCCTAGCCTTCTCTTCCGTAGCCCACACATGTCGAAATGTGCAGTACGGCTGACTCATCCGAAATCTCCATGCAAACGGCGCCTCATTCTTTTTCATCTGCATCTTCCTCCATATCGGACGCGGCCTCTATTACGGCTCTTACCTGTACAAAGAGACATGAAACACTGGAGTCGTCCTACTCCTCACACTCATAGCAACCGCCTTCGTAGGATATGTCCTTCCATGAGGACAAATATCATTTTGAGGAGCTACCGTCATCACAAACCTATTCTCAGCAATCCCCTACATTGGACAAACCTTGGTAGAATGGACCTGAGGGGGATTCTCAGTTGACAACCCAACCCTCACCCGATTCTTCGCCCTACACTTTCTCCTTCCCTTCGTAATCACAGGCATCACCATCACTCACCTCATATTCCTACACGAATCAGGCTCAAACAATCCACTAGGCATCTCATCCAACTCCGACAAAATTCCATTCCACCCTTACTACTCCCTCAAAGACATCCTAGGCTTAGCACTGATACTCACCCCATTCCTTACATTAGCCCTATTCTCACCAAACCTTCTAGGCGACCCAGAAAACTTCACCCCAGCAAACCCACTAGTAACCCCTCCTCATATTAAACCAGAATGATACTTCTTATTCGCCTACGCCATCCTACGCTCAATCCCAAATAAACTCGGAGGCGTCCTAGCATTAACAGCCTCAGTACTAATTCTCCTTCTCCTCCCCTTCCTTCACAAATCCAAACAACGAACTATAACCTTCCGCCCACTTTCCCAAGCCCTATTCTGGCTATTAGTTGCTAACCTTCTTATCCTAACCTGAGTAGGAAGCCAACCAGTAGAACACCCATTCATCGTCATTGGCCAAATAGCATCACTTTCATACTTCACCATTCTACTCATCCTCTTTCCTGCAATCGGAACCCTAGAAAACAAAATACTTAACTTCTAGTACTCTAATAGTTTAATAAAAAACATTGGTCTTGTAAACCAAAAACTGAAGACTACACCCTTCTTAGAGTAACTCAGAAAAAAAGGACTTAAACCTTTCTCTCCAGCTCCCAAAGCTGATATTTTAAATAAACTATTTTCTGAAATCCCTAAACCGCCCGAATCGCCCCCCGAGACAATCCACGCACAAGCTCCAACACAACAAACAACACCAACAACAAACCCCAACCTGCCACCAAAAACAACCCAGCCCCACATGAATAAAACATCGCCACCCCACTAAAATCCAGCCGAACTAAAGACATCCCCCCACTATCAACAGTAACCACTATAACCTTCCAAAAATCAACAAACCCTGCTAAAAACACCCCCACACAAACCACCAAAACAAACCCTAACCCATAACCAACTACCCGTCAATCCCCCCAAGCCTGAGGATACGGATCTGCCGCTAAAGATACAGAATAGACAAAAACCACCAACATACCCCCTAAATATACTATAAATAACACCAAAGAAATAAAAGAAACACCCAAACTCACCAACCACCCACACCCAACTACAGATGCTAGCACTAATCCCAACACACCATAATACGGAGAGGGATTAGACGCTACAGCTAAAACCCCTAACATAAAACAAATCCCAAGAAAAATCACAAAATAAGTCATATATTCCCGCTTGGATAGACCCCAAGGACTACGGCTTGAAAAGCCATTGTTGTTCTCAACTACGGGAAC